CCCTACCAGGGGCCAATAGTGTAGCCTTTATAATACTGATAGGTTGGTGTTTCCAGTGGTATCTTAAACCACAGTAACCTGTGCCAAAGGTTCAAGCTACCTGAGGGCTACAGTATCAGAATTAACAGGGTGAGAACCACTATTAGAAATATCCTCAGGTCTGGAGACTATAGGGGCACACAAGGAATGATAGCAGTACCCACCACAACATTCCCAAGTTCTCAATCTTCCCTGTATTAAAAGCCTTACTACACAGATAGTCAGTGCCACAGTCATAGATATATCAATGAAGATGGAGGAATACCATAAAAGACCTAGCATCAATGTTTTCATACTCACGTCCCCAAGGGTACCATAGAGATGGTTGGATCTCTCTACAGATGGTCATCTTTGGAGGGTCGCCTGTTGGATTCTTCATCCCTCTTCATGCTGGGGAATCCCTTTTATTCTGCGTTACACTCACGCCCATAACCTTACACATAGGCATGGGGGTTCCAACCCCTTTTCCCTTATCTGGATTTCCACACCCCATGCAATTTGGGGTGCTCTGCTTTTCTTAGGCTACCCTCTTAGTTCCCCTTATTTTTATGAGCATTTAGATCAGCATGTCCCCTTGGTAACATGCGGTTATGGCAGAATTCTTATGATGTTTCAATCAAGTGTCTTGCACTATTGACATATTTTACAGTAATCTTGTAACTTTATTGGTACAGGATTACTCATGGATCAGCTCCTCATGCCAATCCTTCTTAGGTTAGCTTAGCCCAATGTGGCTAAGCTAAGATCTGGCAGGCGTCAGCCTGCAGGACTTGCATTACAGCCTTACTTTGCTTATATATCTGATACACACACATCACTCAATATTATACCTCTATGATATTATTCTACTTGTTCCTATACCTATCACTTAAATCTATTAATCACACATTGATTACATATGAGTAAACCACAACAATAGATAACCCAAGTAAATGCTTATATAAGGTGGTCAGCTACAATAGACAGATTGATCCTGAAATCTCAAGCACTTGAGCTCACGTGCCAAGTTCACTAGCTGGGAGCAGTAGTAGGTAGTTATCTTCTGAGGAACTCTGTAGAGACATGCAGCACAAAATGAATAGCTGGTTACAATCTGATTTCATCTGACTATAACAAATGGATCTAATAAATGGATCTAATTTTGCAAACGATGAATGGATCTTTAAGCCACCTCTCAGGAGAACATGGCTGCTATTCCTTGGCACACAGCAGCATTAAGCAATTTAGGGGAGGAAGGGAAGAATACAAGGCTACACTCATTTGATATATGGAGGCTGTTGTTAAAGAAAAATAATTAACAAGCCCCTAGGAAAGTTCACATATAAAATACCACCAACCCCCCGCCCTGGTCCATTGTATTCTATGCAGCTGTGTTGATTTACACCATGTGCAGATCTGTCCCCCTATATAAAAAAATACCATGGTATCTTTAGGCCCCCAGTCTTGTGAGGTGTTAAGAGCCCACAACTTGCATGTTGAGCTGTGCAAACAAGTGAGTTTTCAGTTCACTGGCAGTTCCAAAAATTGGGAGAGGGAATGGTTTTGGATTGACCCAAAACAATTTTTTTTTTCCAAACAAACTTTCAGCAAACCGAAAAGTTGAAAAAAATATGCTTTAGGCTGAAGAAGAGGTTTGGTTTCATTTCAAGCTTTTAAAAAAAATTCATTTTTAAAACTTTATTTTAAAGTCAATTTTGAAAATGGAAAATCATTTCAAACTGAAAAATCGAAACATTTCATTTAGAAAGTGTTGAAACAAAGCATTTTGGTTTCTTCCCAGAATTATTTTTAGTTGTTTTTTTTTTAAACTGAAAAAATTCTGCAAAATCAACACAAATTCACAAAATGTTTTGGTTGATCTGACTCTGCATATTTCAGCTGAAAAATTTTGCCCACCTGTACTTGCACAGACCACAAGTGGCAGCACACGGATTTTACATTTTATCCACAGCCAACATCTTTAATACGATGCTGGACGATTGTCCCAGTGCTGACTCAGGATCATTTGCAGCAGCTCCTCTGTTTTCCTTGCAGGTCTCCCCACTGAACACTCACCAAGCTCACCCTATTTTAGCTTTAGAAATACAACAAGGTGATAAATCACAGCTGTACTGGTACTGTACACTGTGTTATAGTTAAACAGGAATGGTGCCATATACTGGGATGACAGCTTTCCACACAGTTTTCAATGGACCGGAATGTTCATTTCCTTATTGTATGCCAGAGATACTGGGCAAGAACCAATCCTGAGCTCTGGGGCAGGAAGTGGGTAGTGGGTGTCAGTTACTCAGGGCTTGTCTATATGGGGAGTTAGTTCATGGCAGTCTGGGGTGTAAATCTGCAGCGCACCAGCTCGACGCACACTAGCTGGCCGTGTGGACCCTTCTAGCACGCTCTAAAAGTTCTGTAGAAGAACAGCAGTAGATCAAAGCACGCTGCCGAACTTTTAGTGTGTGATAGCAGGGTCCACATGGCCAGTTAGTGTGCAGCGAGCTCATGTGCTGCAGTTTTACGCCTTAGCTTCCATGAACTAACTCTCCATATAAATAAGCCCTTAGTTGCAGCTCCATGATTCTCAAAACCAGCCCAGGCCCCAGGCAATTTTGACGCTGGCCGCTCTAAATTCTGCCACAGGTGTAGGCTCCTCAATGGACCCTTTGCTAGTGTAAAATAGGCATAGCAGAGTGGAGGTCTGGCATGCACCCTATTCACCCATAGCATGCCCCCTCCCTGCTTTGCCAAGAGGACGGGAGTCAGAGGCTCAGATTCGGAGCTGGTGTACTTCTGCCCAGCGGAGAGATTTTCTACATCAGCCAAATTACTGCCCCCTTGTGCCACTGCCATAACATTGCTATGGAATCTGGCCCTCTAGTGCTATAGCAATCAAGAGATTATGCATAAATGGTAGATGGGCCAAGTTTGCTTCAGCTAGTCACTGAAAAGGTAACAATATTCATGAAAACAACTTGATAATAACACTTTGCACTTAAGTAGCACTCTTCTTCTTTTCCAAAGTGCTCTACAAACATAAGCGGAATGCATTTTAAAAATAATAATAACTGGAACTTCCTAATAGCATGACAATGGGAAAACCCAGTCATTTTGATACTCCTGTGCTGTGTGATATGCCACCGAGTGGCAACACAAAGTGTAAGATCTCAGTTCATCTTGTTTTAGGAGTGTGGGAAGAGCACAACATTGAGCTTAGTGAAAATGTAAATGACTTTACCTATCATTCTGCCCCATTCTTAATGGTACATAAGTATTAGGGATTATGATTTCCTGAAAGAATGGTTTCAGAGTAACCGTGTTAGTCTGTATTCGCAAAAAGAAAAGGAGTATTTGTGGCACCTTAGAGACTAACCAATTTATTTGAGCATAAGCTTTCGTGAGCTACAGCTCACTTCATCGGATGCAAAGAATGGTTCAGTTCCCAACACATATTTGTGAGAAAACTGCAGGTATGCCTATTAGCTAGAGCAGGAGAACTGACTGGATAAAATCGGAGAAATCCTGGCCCCACTGAACTCAAGGGCAAAATCTCCATCGACTTCAATGTGGGGAGTGGGAGGTGAGACAGCATTTTGCCAAAAGACTCTTGGGTTCCATTCCCAGATCGGCCATGGACTAGCTGTGTGACCACAGACAAATCCCTTAACTTCTCGGTGCCTTATTTTTCCGTCACCGGTGAGTTAGGATAGTAATAATTACCTACCTCGCTGGGTGGCGTGAGGATTAATTCATTACTTAACTCCCAAGGGTTCTCTCAACAACAATAGCTCTCGCCTTCCAGTAATGAACCTCACACCCGTAAAACACCCGTCTCAATAGCCTGTTCTCAACAGCCAGGCCTAGTGCCTCTCTGGGTTCTCCTCCTGTTCCAATCTCACTATTTTAAATACTGGGCTTAATTCAAAATCAGTGTGGGAATATCAAGCAAGTAATTTGTGTGTGTGTGTATCTATAATTTATATAGTATTTTTTGTTTTGTCACCATTGTTCCTGCCAGTCAGATAAACCGGCTATGTTTTAATGAAAAACATGAATGACAGAAAATTGCACATTCCCCTTACATTCATAAGTGCCCTTTAACTTTAATTATGCTGCATGCCATTTATTGTAATGGACATGTTATAACTGACAGCTTACAGTAGACACCGCAGATTTCTCCTGTCAGGCATAAATAACTCAGTGCCAGTTTCCCTGTAACAGACAATAACATGAGACCAGATTCTACATGCCTCACTCACATGGGACCAGATCCTCAGATAGTGTAAATCAGAATAGATTTACATCAACTGAGGATCTAGTCTGCTGAGCAATCCCTTATCCCAGGAGTAGTCCCACTGTTTGCAATAGGGTTACTCACCTTCTGTGCTCCTTAACATCAGTAGGGGTGGCAGAGTCTGACCCTTTGTTTTTATGAGACATTTTTGGTGGGGGTCACTAGGGATGCTCAGCAGGAGCAGAGAGAAAACCAGGTCACGAATGAGATGGAGGAACTAGGGAGATTTCACTTCCTTACCAAATAATTTCCCACAAGCTGTGTCAGCTATCTTTTGTTAAACAAATACTTGAAAAGATCAACATTTTCTATTTGTATGGTGGGGCGGTACCAATGACCTGTGGTTTTGCTGTCTTGGGAGTCTCAGCAGTCAGCTTCAAATACAAACTCCCACACCCTGACCAGTCATGAGTTTCCTGATTCACAATACTGGGGTCACAGTCTATCCTTTGCAGTGAAGTCCTCCTTGATGCTGATGTGTGTGGACGTAGGGCGGTGTAGACCCTGATTCCTTTGTACCGTGTAGTTCTTCGCCTTCTGGTCGGAGACTCAGAACTAGCACTAAACCTGTTAGGCATTTTTTGACAGTTCTGGTGACATGTTGCAGGGTGTACTAATTATCAATATGCAAAGGTTTCAGATGTGATCAGAGTCCTGATTGTCCTCTTTCTTACAGTAGGTGGAAATCAGGAATGACTCCATCTAAGCTAATGAAGTTACACTGATAAGAAGCCAATGTGAGTGAAATCAGAATCAGGGCTGACAGCTTTACCCATTACAATGACTTCATAGGACCTCCTGTGCTCAACCTTTCTCCCATTTTATCCTGCTCTACAGGTGAGGATGGGGATTTTTAAAAATCATTTTTGTATGTAATAATGTCATTGTGTTTTATGTCTATTGGCCTTGATCCTGAAAACTCTTTACTCATTGTCTTCGGTGGCGCGACTCACCTGATTATAGCTGGCACCGATGAATGCTTGCAGAATCAGCCCATCCTTTGTAATTAACAGCATCTAGCAGACTGGCAAGATGGTCCAGCAGGTAGGACACCAACCTGGGATGCAGGAGACCTGAGTTCAAAGCCTCTTTCTACTAAAGGCCTCCTGTGGGACCTTGGATTATTTACTCGCTCGCCCAGATCCTCAAACATATTTAGGTGCCTAACTTCCGTGGAAATGGATTTCAGTGGAAGTTAGGAACCGAAATATTGATTGATTTAAATGGGAGTTAGGTGCCTAAATACCTCTGAGAATCTTGGTCTCAGTTCACCATCTGTAAAATAGGAGAAATACCACTGCCCTACCTCACAGGGCTATTGTGAGGGTAAATATGTTAAAGACTATGAGGCGCTCAGATAGCAGGGGACATATGAATACCTAAGATAGATGGTCCCTGAATATCACAGAAGGAGTGAAGGAAGCACTTTATAATTTATTTATTTATTTATTACCCTGACAGGGATTAAAATAGCAGCTCTGTTTTTGCCTTTCACAGGATTCCTCAGAAATATACACTTGCCAGTCATGGAGCTGAGAAAGGATTAAAGGCTAGATCCTCTGTGTAAATTGAAGCCAATGGCATAACGCTAATTTACAGTGACTGAGCATCTGGTCTTGTGTGCTGCATGTGTGTTGGTGTTCATGGGAACATGCAAAACTGGCCTTCACTGCTGCTGAAATAGTTCAAATGTATTGCTTTAAAAGGTTGAAATTTTAGGAACTGTTGGGGTTCACTGCACAGAAATGAAGCAAAGCACAACATCAAACATTTGGAAAATTTACAAATACACCAAAGAGAATATGGTGATTTACTTGGCTTTAATCAGGTTAATATAATTTCATGAGTTTTACACCAAAAGGTTTCCCATCGGTGTACCAGTTACCTGTGAATAAAGCTTGCTTCTGGCAAGTGATAATTAATTCTTAAATCTTAGAAGCCTTTGAGCTTCCAAGCCCCTGAGCACATTTGTATGAAGATTAGATATTGTTTCTTTTCTCCAGTTTTCTTTGAAGTCTTTTCTTCAAAGATACCTGTTCGCTGTTTAGACTGCATAAAGCCTCAATTGACAGAGCTTTCCTGTACATTGCACAGGCTTTGCATCTGACTCTCCTCTTTCCTACACCAGCAAAAATCAGGAGTAACTCCATCGAAGTCCATGGAGACACATCAGCCTAAAACTGGGGTAAGGGAGAGGGAGAATCAGGCCCTGTGCCGGGAACACAAAAGAAATCAAGTGAATTACTCACCCCATGGTGAAAACTTAACAAGTAATAATGTATTAATTGATATTGATGGTGCATGTTGTAAGCATGTTGATTTTTTTTTAGAAGCTCCTCTTTGGGGTTGGGCAGTGACAGGTTGTATAGAACAAAGGCTGATACCTCTCATTCATTGTAACAAGCTCTCAGGGCAGTGCTTGCTTGTCGTGGGAAGAAATTAGTGGTGGGTAGAGCAAATCCAATACATATATATATTGGACCAGAAGCCTTGACTCATATATAAATATGTTTCAGAATGAACCAAACACAAAATCCTCAGCAAATTGAGAAGTCAAAATAAATTTTGGATCAAACAAAATATTCTGATCATTTTAATGTTAATTTTAATTAAAGGAAATTTCTAAATGAAAAGTCATTCTGAAACAAAAAATCAAAACATTGTTTTGAAAATAACAACATGTTTACCTTTTTTCTGATTTTAAGGGGTTTTTCTTAATGAAACAATTCCGCAAAACCTGCACAAATTCACAAAATGTCTCAGTGTCACCAAATCTGTGTTGGTTTTTTTTGTCCAAAAAAGTTGCAGTTGAAAAATGTTCCCCAGCTCTTGTATGATACAGTGCAGTCCTGTGCCGATAGTGACGGCAGATGCTAGAGTCAGATTCTAATTTCATTTACACCAGTGTCAATTGGGACTAACTCCACTAAAGTAATGGAGCTACTCCCAATTTACCCTAGGTAAATAAATAAGAGCAGCATTTGGCCCCTAGAGTACACAGCAGCGCTTGTCTGATCAACCTTTCATTTTCAACCTTTCATTTTACCAAAAAAAATAAATAAATAAATAACAATCGTGCAGGCAAGAAGGGTGGGATTCACCAGTCGGGCTTAGGTGCTGCCACCAAGTGGAACTGACAGCCCTAAATTAGGTGCTCAGACTCCCTTATACAATGCATGGAGAGATTCAAGTGCCTAAAAAAGGGCTTCACAGATACCAGCATGCTGAGCAGGGAGCCACCTAAGCTAGCCAATAGAAAATGCCAAGCAGAGGGGTGTGGCCTAAGCCCTACCTCCCCCTTAGGGATTTAGGGTCTAACTTCCAGACCTGTTGGACAAACTGGCCTTTCCCTGTCCAGCAGTTCTTCCAGTTCTTAAGACTTTATGCTTTTTCTGAAAAACAGCATCATTGTTGTAGCTCTACACCACAAGTCCTGGTGGAGAAAATGCTTATCCAATGGAGTCTCTTTCTCCAAGAATCCAGTTAATGGATCTGAAATTTGGTAAAAAGGAAAGGAGGACTTGTGGCACCTTAGAGACTAACAAATTTATTTGAGCATAAGCTTTCACGAGCTACAGCTCACTTCATCGAATGCATCCGATGAAGTGAGCTGTAGCTCACAAAAGCTTATGCTCAAATAAATTTGTTAGTCTCTAAGGTGCCACAAGTACTCCTTTCCTTTTTGCGAATACAGACTAACACAGCTGCTACTGTGAAACCTGAAATTTGGTGTGACCTTTCACCAGTGTTCAAATTCTAGACATCTTTTCCCTCTCTTGCATGTCATGCATGTACAATACCTCCCCCTGCTGGCCCAATGTGGAAGTCAACTCAGATTTCTCTCAAGCCGCTGCAAGCCCTCTGACAAGGAGCCATACGAAGGTTTCTACCTAAATATCGTTACCCAAGAAAAAGCAGGCCAAAGAATACAAAATGTTAGTTGAGGGCACATCGCACTTGATAGAATGGAGAAAGACCCCTGCTGGCTGGAAACTCAAAATTAACAACAACAACAACAAGAAAATTAGCAAGGTTTGCCAGCTGGGGATAGGTGGCTGGCTGGTGATCAGAAGGGCCTTTCAGTCAATTAATCCATCTCAGAGCTGGATTAATGCATTTAAACATGTTTCCCTTAGTTGCTTCAGAGAGACCCATTGAATGAGCTGTAAAGATGAATGGAAGTGAAGAAATTTCATTTAGAGGAAGGAAAATGTCTCTGGAACAGTGAGTGGTTGATTTTTACATACCATATGTGCATCAATAACTGAGAACAACAGAGTGAATTAAGGGCAGAGACCGGCAGCTTTGAGTCAAAAACTCTTGAGTCTGAAGATCTATTTCATTTTAAATGACTATCTATCTGTGTTTCTAACGTGCCCGTTACCAAAGAATCTTTAGGCAGTTGCAATCAAGTTAGGACAAGCAGACTTCTGCCTGCGGACTTTACTGTCTGCTCCTTTCATTCATTGCTCCACTGCACTAAGTGAGGTAATCTTGCTTATCACGGGGGAAGCTATTACTGGGCTATTTTGTCATCATTCTGAATGGCAGAAGACTGGCTCAAAAAGGTAGCTTCAAAGCTAAGTGTAGGAGGTATCTGAGACTTGGTCTCAGCCTGGTCTATCACTGATCAGGTGATTGACTGAAAGTCAATGGGACTTGTGCTTTATCAAGTGTCTTCATTCATAGTCAAGGTCCCTCCACAGAGAATGTTCAACCCCTGGCCCCTGAGAGTTTGGGACTGGCCTCCGTTAGTTGTAGTATCTCAGCTGATTTAAGCTGTCACATAAAGTTGTGGAAGAAAAGGTAGTCTCTGAGATAAGCAGGGCTTTCTCGATGAGACCCAGTACCGTGACGTTCATGCAGCAGCTGACTTGAAGGCAGGGACTGTTGCAGAGCATGATTTCCCTTTCAGTATATAAAGCATTTATACACGCTGATCTTCCACTAGGCCAGGTGAGATCAGTCTCTTTGGAGATCTATGAATGTGATTTATTCTTGTATATTCCCTTTTAATAAGAGACACATAAGACTGGCCATACTGGGTCAGACCAAAGGTCCATCCAACCCAGTATCCTGTCTGCCAACAGTGGCCAATGCCAGGTGCCCCAGAGGGAGTGAACCTAACAGGTAATGATCAAGTGATCTCTCTCCTGCCATCCATCTCCACCCTCTGACAAACAGAGGCTAGGGACACCATTCCTTACCCATCCTGGCTAATAGCCATTAATGGACTTAACCTCCATGAATTTATCCAGTTCTCTTTTAAACCCTGTTATAGTCCTAGCCTTCACGACCTCCTCAGGCAAGGAGTTCCACAGGTTGACTGTGCGCTGTGTGAAGAAGAACTTCCTTTTATTTGTTTTAAACCTGCTGCCCATTAATTTCATTTGGTGGTTCTTAAGTTATGGGAACAAGTAAATAACTTTTCCTTATTCACTTTCTCCACACCAGTCATGATTTTACAGACCTCTATCCTATCCCCCCTTAGTCTCCTCTTTTCCAAGCTGAAAAGTCCTAACCTCTTTAATCTCTCCTCATATGGGACCCGTTCCAAACCCCTAATCATTTTAGTTGCCCTTCTCTGAACCTTTTCTAATGCCGGTATGTCTTTTTTGAGATGAGGAGACCACATCTGTATGCAGTATTCAAGATGTGGGCGTACCATGGATTTATGTAAGGGTAATAAGATATTCTCCGTCTTATTCTCTATCCCTTTTTTAATGATTCCTAACATCCTGTTTGCTTTTTTGACTGCCGCTGCACACTGAGTGGATATCTTCATAACAAACTATATTTGGGGCCAGCTTGTGACTTGGACTATGCACCTGCACAGG